AGAAAAAGAATGGGAGGGTATGTCCTCCTAGGACTTTCTTTAACACCCTTCAGAGACTGTTCCCTGTTCATACAGGACAGGAGAATGCATTTCATTACTGGCAAACTTAGCTCTTGCCTTTATTTTGTAACCTATTTAGTTTTAATCTCTTGATGAATCTTCCTCCTTTTCTGGGGCAGGGCAGCAGTGACCTTGCCTCCCCTTGGAAATAACTTGGTTTAACCAATGTGGTTTCCCATATATCTGCCTCGGTTGTCTGTAACAGGGAACTGTCCTTGTGCACTTGAATACAGGAGAGGTGGGAGCTGCCTGATAGACAGGTACTAACAGCCAGACATCAGTGCACATTTTTCAGCTGTGATGTATAGCAGCTTAAGTTTCTTTTGACTGAATATCTTGACGTGTAAGCACAGGGAACATTAAGACAGGATTACTGAACTGGAGAGGTTATGAATACTGTCTGTATTATGCCCTAGGCAGAAGGCTCAGCTCTCCCTTACCTTGCTCATTAATCTCAGTAAGGTTTCTGAGAGAACAGGTATGGTGCAGGCATTCCTAGTTCTTGATCATATGAAGTTTTGTCTATGCAGTATTAGGCCTCAAGGTAAAATAGGAGATAGTGACAGCCTCACATTCACTCTTGTAAATGATTCGGAAGTGATTACAGTGTCCTCAGATATGTTTTGGTGCCATGTGTATTTGTGAGGCTTCAGAAGAGTTCACTCTGGAGTCTTGTTTACCTCAGAAAGCAAGAGAATGCAGAAATAGGAGAAACTTGCACCAGAAGGATAGCAAGTAGCAATAATTTGCAGCTGCAATCACTGATTGATTCCTCGCACACAGTACCTCACAGTCTAATAATGCTGTTTATCTACAAGATAACTACTAATGTTATCTGTGCTACAGAATTTCACTGATGTAACTGCATCAACTAAAGTACCACACCAGTGCTGGTGATGCGTGTGTCTGTGCTGATGGAGAAGGCAGCTTTCAACAGTTGACCAAATTGCTTCAGGTGGTGCATCTCTGCTAGCATATACTGCATCTCCAATAATGGGCTGTGCCGCCAGAGCAAGGCAGACCCTTTTAATATGAGCAAGCCCTGCAATATAAAGGGAGAAAGAGAGCACAGTTACCTCATCACGTGAGGGCAAGTCAGAAGTGTTTCTTTCAAGGCTTTTCCACTTTTTTACCAAATGATTGAGTATGCACCACTTCTTTGAGGGTGGAGGAGTCTTTGGTATAATGAGTTCCACTGGAGAAGATTTTTCTTAATTCTAAGTCTTCTTTTAATTTCATCTTTAGTTATGGACTTTCCATGTACACTGAATTGACAGTTCTCTTGAGATGCAACAACTCCTGATTGATTTCTCTTGCTCAGGTATATTAAAAAAAAAAAAAAAGTTGCTGTTTGAGGCACATGCTATGTGTGGACCTGTCTGCCTTTTCTCCCTCTTTTTGTGTGTCTCTTGGAGCTGAACAGCTGGGAACAGAGTGGGAATACAACTTAAAGGATGAACAGTTCTGGTATTGGAAGCATCTTTTGATAGAACTGCATAAGATTCAGTGAGGAGTGGACTAGATGATGATTAGGTTGTTCACAGTTTGCAAAAGTGAACAAAGCTTTCAGACTCTAAGTTTTCAGGCTTTTTTAAATGGTTTTAAGTTATTCTTCAATCCTGCCTTCATATACTGGCTTACTGTGTAACAACTGCTGATACGGTGAGGTGAGTGATTCTGTCTCCACCAGCTTCCTTGGCAATTCAAGGAAAGAAAATAGGCAGGAAGTGAACTTCAGGTGTTTTTCTTGTGGATTTTTAACTGTGTAGCGCTAATGAGACGATGTTAGTTCTGTAGTACTGAGTGTCTTTTTTGATGAGGATTTGTATTGGTACAGGCTCTTGGGTTTTATGTTTTCCTGATTGATGCTGATTTTATTTAAAATTCATGTACCTCTTTGGCTGCTCATGTTTAGCAGGCCAGACTAGGAATTCATGGTAGGCACTAGTTTAGAGGAGAAATTTTTGAGCAGAAGCCTGAAGCTCAGAGCACTTCATTTGGAGCTGTACCTGCAATAACCAGTAGCAATTTGTCTTAGTTCTCTGTCTCCAAGAAATCTAAATTTAACAAGCTACTGGCTCAGAAAGCTGTTCCTACAGGCTGATGAGAAAAAGATTTCTTTAGGATCTGAGAGCAGATTTTCTTTCTACTGCTGTAGTAGGGAAACAGTCTGTCAATAAATGCTGTTTTCTTATTTGCTACTGAAAATTTCTGCCCTGCTTAGAGGTTCAAGCATACAGATTATTTTGTGGTAAGGGGCTTCTAGTTATGAACTTTATAAATGCAGAGGCTCAGAGTCAATTAATCTTGTCTCTTCTAGAGCAGAATGCAAGATACATTTTAAGAGGCAGCATTTTTTTCCCAACTGTATTTCTCAAGATCTGTCAAATAAATTCTCTGAGCAGAAGTGGAGAAGATCTCATCTGGGGGACACTGAGTTTCTCAATTCTTGTATTTGATGACTAGATAAACTGCTGATTGGTAAGAATAGGACAAAATAAATAGTGTCATAAGAAATATTTATAATTGTGGATATGGAGGAATTCAGCCTGACAGCACTGATGATGGTGGCTCTGTTTTATCCAACATCACGTAGACTTCTGATTGGTATGAAAGCAGCTTCTCACTTGATTAAAGCCACAGCAGAAGATGCTGAGGTAAAACTTTGTTGAATCTGTAACCCCACCTCAGATAAGGGCTCTAGTCTTATGGCATTAGTACTTCGATTAACATTGCAGACTGAGCCTGCTATCACAAGGCTGTTTTGAACAGATTGTTTAAAGAAAAACTTCTCAATTAAGTACTGTGTTATGTTCCCCATCCCCCGAGTGCCAAATCCTTCTTTGATAGCACCCTCTCCTGTGTGATACACTGGTTTGCAGCTCCCTCTCCCAGGTTTAATGCAGTATAGAGAAGTGGAAGGATTTTTTTTTTTCCCCTCACTTAAAATACCACCAGTACTAGTGTGGAGCTTTAATCCCAAAGAACAGAAGTCTCCAGGGTGATGCAGGAGTGCCCTGTCTGCACTTATCTGCTTGCAGGAGGTGCTCACACTGTCCTAAGGTACATTCTCTTTGTCAGGGTCACTGCTGCTGACCAGCTTTTTTTATAGAGGACTCAGAGTTTCAGAAATATATTTTTGTAGACAATGACTAAACTGTGAAATGTTTAAAAAATAAAGCATGTAAACAAAAACTTACAGCATTGTCCCCTGTACAGATGTTTTTCTCACTTCAGTTCTCTCTTGACTCATTAGAAAATGTTTGATTATTTCTTGGATATATTTTAATAAAGTTCTGCGAAGAATGTGGCTGCTGTTTGTGGAGGGGTAGCCTGAAATGCAATTTATTTTGAAGGGGAGGGTGGAAAATCTGTACAGGTAAGGGGCAGCCTCAGTCCCACTTTCTTTCTCAAATTAGGCGAGTCACATCTTCTCCCCCGTCACACTCTTGACCCATCGCTCTGGCAAGTGACGTTCTTGCATTGACTGTCACTTGGACTGGAGTGTGCTGCATGGAAAGCAGACACCTTACTGCTTATGAGCCAACGTTGGAGGTAGCCTGGAGCTTGTCTTAGCCCATGACTTAGGACAATTCAATGTTGGGGTGAGTGTTTTTGCAGCCTGATAAGCCTGCATCCACAGTACTTTACCTTTAGACAGTAAACTAGTATTTGAAATTAATACATAGCAGAGTTAGTCTGGGAAACTTTCTACTCTAAGGTACAATAAAAGCCCAGGGCAGTAGAATTTTAGAATGGTTAATATTTATGTAGTTATGAGAATATAAATTTAATTCATGTTATAGGACCTACATCGTTTGTGTAAATCGTTAAGATAAGTTTGGAAGCCTCTCCCCTTCTTTGCAGGTTACACTACTCTTTCTCTGCAGCGATGGAGGAAGCATCCCTGTCCCTGCAGAAGGGCTGCCTGTCGTCTAGCATTAAAGGAAAGA